CCCCCCCCCCCCCCCCCCGGACGCGTCATCGACAATCACATCCTACAAGCAGTAGTACCCGTTCCCCCTGCAACCCTGCGGGTCGGCCTTACTCCTCTTCTGAAACCCGTGTGTCCCAGGTCTGCGCGTGGCGGCTTCGATTTGGATAAGATTATCGACTTCATCAACAAGAAGAAGGTGATTCGGTTAGGATAGGCAGGGTGATGATGGCGATGAAGCCTAGAATAGGAGCCAGAGTTGGGTGGCGTAGGATGGTGGGAAGTGTTTGTTATTTTTCGTGGTGGAAGAACACGCATTTTTTTTTGCGATTGTGCTCGCCTTTTCAGGTAAAACAGAGATCAGCCACGACCTCAAGTAAAACCACAAGGCAGCGGCGCTCCCCCATCATAATCGCTGCCTCATCTTCCTAGCTTGTCGTTCTCATCTGCTTCGCCGCATGGATGTTTGCATGCATGTATGTATTGTCCCAAAAGGATAACGTGCTCCCAAGTTTGGGATTATGTTTCCGATTCTCAACTGTCCCAAAAGTGATAGGGTGCTAAACTGCGTAAGTGCTAGACTGCATAAGTGCTAGACTGCTCATGCAGTAAATTCACTGCGTTGGTTTGGGATCGTGTTAGTTGACGGTTGGGCTGGGATGCAACCCCTTCCAGTTGCCGCTTATGCTTCTGATGGATGAAGAATGTGCCTCCAACCGTGCTGCGTGTCTCCTTTTCTTGTCTCAACGTGCGTTGCAACCCCCCCCCTCCTAACCTAGATTAATCAATTGTACATCATTGGGGGAGACGGGACTCACCGCGGAGCAGTAAGGATAGCGACGGAGTGCATGGCAAGGGTGAGAGCAAAAAAGAAACAATTTCATGCACACGCCTCTTGAAATTTTTGTTTTCGGTCTGGAGAGCTGCTGCTTGGATCGAATTTCGCTAACCCTTAGCGGGGAACTCCCGATTTCACGGAAAACCGCGATTTCACGGATTTTTGACGGCTTGTTGATGGTAACTCGCGGACAACCGCCGATGAGGATGCACACCCGTCTATCTCGCCCAGTAAACACTGTGGGATTTCGTATTTCGAAGAAAAGGGTAGTCACCATTCATAAAACGACGTGTTACATGACATGAAAGGAGGTGGTATGTGACAAGGAACCTCGGGCGTGTTTGTTCGGAGGTAAATCGGTCACCCCGGTGTATGAACCGTACCATACCTTGCCGAAGACTCGGACGTGCTTGCTACCGTTTCCTGTGATAAATTACTCGCGGATCCTGCACTTGAGAGACGAAGACTTGCTCCTGTGCGAATTGCTATTTCTCCTTGGAGCAGTTCCACTCAACAATTGCTCAACTTGACGGAGCTTTCCGTATCACTCGTGGAGCAGGACATCCAGATGAGTTAATTAATGGTACAAAATATATCTATCTATATGTGTACGTAAAGACGGGCGAAGGCGAAACACTGTGGTATACAATTATTAAGCGTAGTGTATGCTTAAGATGCAAGGTGTGTGCTTAAGATGGTACCACAATAGTGCTAAATCTGCTCAAACGAGGTGATGCGTCGTGAATTGTGGCAAGCCCCGCTTTTTCTCTCTCCCGCGGGCATTCATCCACGGCCTCTATTTACTTGTCTCCGGGCTTTGAATTCTTTTCCGCGACGAATGGAAATTCTTTTTGTTTCACTTTGTACCTTATTGTGGTCCCGCCTGCGGCCACGAAGGTTGTTCTCCTAGCCTGAAGTGCGGGAGAGGGAGTGCTGGATAGGGGGCAGAATGACATTGGTACACGATTGTGACGACGGCAGCAACCCTGCCGTTGTCTTGTTCTGTCGTATCCTCTCCTGACACTTTTTCATTCGGTGTCGTCAGAGTCTGTTGTCTGTCTTTCTCTCTCTCTCTCTCTCTCTCTCTCTCTCTCTCTCTCTCTC